TGTGCCTAAAGAACGGCTTGGAAAATTCCAGAAAATGATGTCATGGCTTTAGAAGCTTCTGATAGGAGAATTGACATAATTTGAGTCAATTGGAGGTGTACCTGTGGATGTATTTCAAAGCCTAACTTCAAACTCAGTGCCTACTTGCTTGACAGCATGGGAAAATCAAAAGAAATCAGCCAAAACCTCAGAAGAAAAATTGTAGACCTCCACAAGTCTGGTTCACCCTTGGGAGCAATTTCCAAATGCCTGAAGGTACCACATTCATCTGTACAAACAATAGTATGCAAGTATAAACACCATGGGACCACGCAGCCGTCATACCGCTCAGGAAGGATACACGTTCTGTCTCCTAGAGATTAACGTACTTTGGTGCGAAAAGTGCAAATCAATCCCAGAACAACAGCAAAGGACCTTGTGAAGATGCTGGAGGAAACAGGTACAAAGGTATCTATATCCACAGTAAAACGAGTCCTATATCGATATAACCTGAAAGGCCGCTCAGCTAGGAAGAAGCCACTGCTCCAAATCCCCCATAAAAAAGCCAGACTACAGTTGCAACTGCACATGGGGACAAAGATCGTACTTTTTGGAGAAATGTCCTCTGGTCTGATTAAACAGTTTGGCCATAATGACCATCGTTATATTTGGAGGAAAAAGGGGGATCTTGCAAGCCGAAGAACACCATCCCAACCGTGAAGCACGGGGGTGGCAGCATCATGCTGTGGGGGTGCTTTGCTGCAGGAGGGACTGGTGCACTTCACAAAATAGATGGCATCATGAGGAAGGAGAATTATGTGGATATATTGAAGCAACATCTCAAGACATCAGTCAGGAAGTTCAAGCTTGGTCGCAAATGGGTCTTCCAAATGGACAATGACCCCAAGCATACTTCCAAAGTTGTGGCAAAATGGCTTAAGGACAACAAAGTTAAGGTATTGGAGTGACCATCACAAAGCCCTGACCTCAATCCTATAGAACATTTGTGGGCAGAACTGAAAAAGCGCGTGCGAGCAAGGAGGCCTACAAACCTGACTCAGTTACACCAGCTCTGTCAGGAGGAATGGGCAAGAATTCACCCAACGTATTGTGGGAAGCTTGTGGAAGGCTACCCGAAACATTTGACCCAAGTTAAACAATTTAAAGGCAATGCTACCAAATACTAATTGAGTGTATGTAAACTTCTGACCCACTGGGAATGTGATGAAATAAATAAAAGCTGAAATAAATCATTCTCTCCACTATTATTCTGACATGTCACATTCTTCAAATAAAATGGTGACCCTAACTGTCCTAAAACAGGGAATTTTTTACTAGGATTAAATGTTAGGAATTGTGAACAAATGACTTTTAAATGTATTTGGCTAAGGTGTATGTAAACTTCCGACTTCAACTGTATATGTGTGTGGGATAGAACTGTTCCTTCTCACTTAATCTGACCCCCTCCCTAATCCACAACTGTCCTACCTTATCAGTTACTGAAACTAGACTGTTGCCCTTTGCCTCCCTCCTTAGGAGCCATGAGATTTAACAATAACATGTTTTAACAGACTATAAACGTTCTGCACTCCCCCTTGTCTCACTCAGTAACTTTCCATACACCTAGTTCTTATTCACCCTCCATTGACTCCAACATATACATTCCTTATACATGCAAAGTAATCTATAAGTTCTACTATGGTAACATGAATAAGTATATTTCAAGCTAGTTACAGTTTTGACTTAAATGTACTTGAAAATCTATGGCAAGACCTGAAAATGGTTGTCTTGCAATGGTCAACAACCAATTTGACAGAGCTTGAAGAATTTTGAAAAGAATAATGGGCAAATGTTTCACAATCCAGGTGTGGAAAGTGCTTAGAGAAAGACTCACAGAAAGACTCACAGCTGTAATCGCTGCCAAAGGTGCTTCAACATAGTATTGACTTAGTGGTGTGAATACTTATGTAAATGAGATATTTATTTATTTCATTTTCAATACATTTGCAAACATTTCCCCCCCCAAAAAATCACTTTGTCATTATGGGGTATTGTGTGTGGATGGGTGAGAAAGAAAATCTATTTAATCCATTTTGAATTCAGGCTGTAACAACAGAATGTGGAACAAGTCAAGGGGTATTAATACTTTCTGAAGGCACTGTAATATGCCTTTTAATTGCTACCATGGTCATGCATTCCATATTTCTATTGTAAGAAACATGTCAATTTAGAACTATCCATATAGGCCAATTTCCACGAGTGTAAGGGGTTGTTGATCGTATACAATGTTTTGATATATTTTATACATTTAGCTTTTTGTCATTGTGTTTGTTTCCTCAACATTCTAAAGGGCCCATTGTCACATCATGACTTCCAACATTCTATTCTATTCACTGTAAACAATGTAACTTTTGACACAAATCAGCTACTTTGACCACTTTCCCAATAACTTAAAAACGTAGAGCGTATGAAATTGGAACACCGACTGCAAGCCAGGCCTAATCGCCCAACATCAGTGCCCGACCTCACTAAAATGCTCTTGTGGCTGAATGGAAGCAAGTCCCCGCAGCAATGTTCCAACATCTAGAAGAGTGGAGGCTGTTATAACAGCAAAGGGGGAACCAACTCCATATTAATGCCCATGATTTTGGAATGAGATGTTCGATGAGCAGGTGTCCACATACTTTTGGTCATGTTGTGTATATTCTACCAATCAAACTGTACAGCTGTTGTAGTAATGACATCTGCTACTTTTCGTCTTAACTTTTTGAAACATCTGCCATTTTGACCCCTTTCCTAAAACATTTGACAAAAAGTTAGAGCGTATGACATCTTTCTCTACTTCCCTGCTATTCAAATCTTAAATTTTGCAAAAAATATATTATACCGATCAAACGATACTGAGTTTTTAGTAACCACATCAACAACATTTCCTCTAGCATATTATAAAGAACATACATTTGACAACAGAAACCACATTCCCAACAAGTTACACAAAAAGTTAGAGTGTATAACATCTTTGTCTACTTCTCTGCTATCTAAATATGTAATCAGAACACTTCTTCCACTACCACAAAAATGCTTTTGAAGAGCTGAAGCAAGGCACACAATTTGATTTCATCTACAATTGCCATCTAGTTATTGTTGGTATTTGTGAGCGGTTAATAGTATGTGGTGTAAACAGTGTCAGTAAGAAGGGGGAGAGTAGGGGAAGGCTGATAAATCTCTGCTATAAATCACATACAGATTACATTAATGGATTTTCAATACTTTTTCTTGGTTGTGTTGTGTATTTCAGTAGTGCCTGGGTGTTCCCTGGCCAGATCCATAGCATGAGAAGAAACTCAGGGCCCTTAATAATATAATGTATTACATTTGGAAAGCACTTTTCATTACACAAGAATAATCTCTAAGTGCATAAAATAGGTATTTGATGTCATTTTCTGTTCTTTGTCCAGTCATATTCTCCTTTAAGCCACAGAGAGGTCACCACTAGAGGGCATAATATAACTACTGAACAGCAGACATTTAGGCCTACAGCTTGGAAGCTACCTGTGGATCATGAATATAAAATAAGACACAATGCACTAGCACATGCACACACACACACACCAGATAGAGGTGAGACATATGATACTGTGTTCTAAGAGGTTCTGAGGTCAAGTTGCATGCCTGCTCACGTGTGCGTGTGTATGTGTAAGACAGCCAGGTGGAGTGAGGGGTAAAATGTTTCCCTATAGTCCTGCCTGTGATCACGCACTCTAGTCAGAGAAAGGCTGGATGGCACGTAGCACTACCCTATAAATACTCACCTGGATTCGTTCCAAACCCTACAGTGTCTGTACACTGACTCGTCACTCACTCACAATCTCTATCTCTCTCAAATCACTGCCATTATTCCTTTCCTTCAGATTAGTCTATGGGCCTACGAGAAAAAGGTTGCAATCCACACTCTGGGGATATGTACAAAGACACAGTTTGGAGGTTTCACAGCTGCCATTTTACACATAGCCTCGTTCCCAGAAAAATTGTGCGTATAAGCGTGTAACAACTCAAATCTAACCTATGTGGGACTGAACTAAATATTTGTCTTTATTTGAGCTTAGTGAATCACATGACTGTGAGGCATTAAGAAACGTGTAGAGTGCTAGGACTTGGCGACAGGACTTTTTGCAGTGCTTTCTATTATTTAGCGAAGACCATGTTAGAATTTTTTGTCCACCAGACCTTCAGATAAAATAGATTATTTTGCACCTGACATTGAAGTGGAGAGGTGAGGTGAGGATTGAGTGGGGAGATGAGTAGTAAGTAGAGAGGTGAGGGGTGATAGACAGTGTTTTAGTCAACTTTTTCTGGGCTGTCTGTAATGAGCTTGGCTTGGTGCTCCTCATTAAGCCCTTTATGGCAGGTAACAGGTCCAACAGTGCACCAACCAATGAATGACTGGGGGTTGGCAGTGAGTTGTCTGAACGTTAGCAGATAGTTGTCTGGAGTTCCATTTGGCTCCCAGTGCACAAATACGTCCTGGAGAGTCCTGAGATTTTTCATCACCTCACTGTATAATCCTTCTTTATCTCATTCTAGACTCTGTTTGTTAGCAGTTAATGTCGACAGGAATTTCTTCTCAGCTGGAGTAGGATACAACAGCAGGGGTGTGACACACTCAGGCAGTGGAAAATTACGCTAACCCTTAATTGTGCTAACCCCAACACTAACACTAATGCTAATGTAGCATAATTGCTGCATACATGACTGCATTTAGGTGTGCTTACGTTCCATTACATCCCCATTGTGTACCATCAGACAAACAGCAGACTACACTCCCAGGCTAGGTTTGTCAAAATGACTTTATTGAGTTTAGAGTTCATGTACACGTAATGAGTTCAGTGTTTCTCGTACATTCGTACAATCACATAACTTATATGTAATGAAGTTCTGATACACAGACACGTAAGACCCTCAGTTTAGCAACCAGTGGTAGGAGGACCTGCCCTATTCCAGGGTTCACGGCAGTGGAGGGTTCACTTGCTAAACTGGGAGACAGGGGCGGGGACATGGATGTTCTGCCCCTTCTCCAACTTCTTCTCACAGTCGATTAGGTAGTTCACACCGTCAATCAAACATTGGACCAGCTCCACCTATCACAGCACAAAAGAGAAACAGGGAGAATTACTCTTCCAAAATATCAAACCTGGTCACACAAAAGTTTAATAAGTGTATAATGAACAGTTACACAGTTATTACGACTCTATTTCTTCCTCATTCCCTTTGTCTCTTTCTTCTCCATCCCCCTCTCTTTTTTTTTTTTTACCTCCGATTTGCCCAAACGGTCATTGTTGGAGAGGTCAAAGGTATCTCCGGTAGCAGCTGTGTCCACTCCGCCTGTACCCCTCTTCTGTAGCCGCATGGCGTCCAGAATCTTAGGGAAGCGAGGGTCCTGCACACATACAAACACACACACACAACGTTTTTATTATTATGTTATGCCTCTTTTTGTATTTGTGGACTATGTGTGTGTCTGTGTGTGTGTGTGTCTGTGTGTGTGTGTGTGTGTGTGTGTGTGTGTGTGTGTGTGTGTGTGTGTGTGTGTGTGTGTGTGTGTGTATGTTACCTTGCTGAGGTTGGGCAGGCGTACGTGTACCCCAGCCCTAAGTCCAGTGCCCAAGTTGGAGGGACAGGTCAGGATGTATCCAAGATGCTCATTCCACATGAACTCCCAGCCTCTCTCCTGAATCAGACGCTCTACCTAGTGGACAGGAGGTCACGCACACAGACAGAGGGAGAGAGACTGACATTACGAATTGTGCAACACAATCTCCAAAGAAAACCCCATACCTCACCATAACTGCAACAACAGAGATATGGAATGTACAGCTGAGTGTCAAGTGATAATAGCATGAGCTGAACTATTTACTGTTGAATGTGGATTGTCTGCTCACCATAACACTGTGTACGCCAGCTGAGCTAAAGCTGTGGCATTAAGCTAGCTTGGAACAGCTAACACAAGCTAACAGAATTCTTCAGGTCTTAGGTAAAGTTACCCATCCACGGTTCTGTGCAGCAGTGGCGGTCAGTGCCTTATTTCTATTACAGCATATTGGATGACTGTCATTCATATTCCATTCACCCAGCTAAATGTAACATCGATAGGTTTAGGCTACTACATGATACTCAAATTTTCCCTATACCCATCATGAGGTTGCTACAACCTATCCTATGAATGAAAGTTTACAACGTACGTGCACAGGTCGAGAGAAATTTGAGTAATCAAGGTGACAGATGTTGACACATTCAATACCGCCTTGCACACTCTTGCCTGCATCTAGCTGATCTATGGTGTAATAATTAGTCCAACAGTTGCAAACAAGAGTTTCAATTGGACAAATTCAGGCATGTTTATCCCCGTGTCATTCCATTTGCTTCCGTTTAAGAAACATTTATCAACAGAATCGGCGTAATGAATACAACCCTGATCACACTCAAACACAGTTCACTTTCATAGCAGCCACATTCAAACAGCATGAACCCTTTGATCGTTGTATTCCTTCTCGCATCTACGCGCTCTCCTCCTCTCAGCTTTTCCATTCGCTTGTGGACTTGTCAGTGACAACACATCAGCTTTCTGTGACCAGGCGAAAAAACATTTCCAAGCCAAACCTTCATATCAGAAACGCTAACCGCTACACACATCCTATGTTGTTGTCACCATATTAACATCATAGTCAACATAGCTACTAGAACTAACACGTTAGTAAACCCGCTACAATCATGCAGTACAGTCAGCAGCAAGCAGTTTAGCAGTTACACCGGCGGGCCCCTGTGGCAATAAATTGATAAAACCAAAAGCTTACCTTGACTTGGAAGAGTTCCAGTGTAGGATAGCCATAGCCAGCTAGCTAACATAGCATCCCTCTTTGTTTGAGCCGGGAGTAGGCTAAACTAGCTAGCTGCGTTCGCATTCGCTAGATATGGATCATATTATATCCCAGAGAAATAGAAGTGCAGTAATTGTAAGTCACCTAATCTATGTTCCTTTAACTGTTAGCTCTGAGGGTATTGTCTGCAATAATCATATGCACATAGAATTGAATTCTGTTACAGGAGGGGGTCGCAGTTCCGGAGCGACCCACTAGGTTTCATCCTCCGACAACTTAGGCACCTTCTCACTCACAGTATGGACTAATCAGTATCCTATTGGTGTCACCTGTGTCTACCAGTTCACCTATGTATTTATGCCCTCACTTCCCTGTGTTCCCTTGCTCAGTTTTCTCTGTTAGTTTCTGTATGTCCAGCAGTACTACTCAGTGTCTGATCGGAGACCTATGTACAGGTACTTGAGAAGTGTTCTCCCTGTTTCGTTATTTGTTTCAATCGAAGGTAGTATTTCGTATTTTGGCTGTCAGCCGGTTTTTGGAGACTTATTTGCTCCGCCTTTCTTTTATCTTGATAAGTCCGTTATTTTGTATTTTGGCTTCGGGACCACCAGTAAATATCCTTGTTTCACCATCTCTGCCTACTGCCTACTGTATATCCTGCACCGCACCTGGGTCACACCTCACACCAACCCTTACAGAAAACTGAGCCAATATGGACCCAGCGGAGGCAGCACAGTATTGGAGCACATTGGCAACACAGGGAGCTATGCTGAACCAACACAACCGCAGCCTGCAGCAGATCATCGAGAATCTCCGCCAGCTGACGAACTCCGTGCAGAGCCGGGTGGACACCGGACCAGCCCCGGCAGCCATCTCCAGTCACGCCTGCGACATCGCGGGAACCCCGTCTACCACCTCCGGAGAGGTATGACGGACATCCAGAGGGCTGCAGGGAATTCGTCACCCAGTGTTCCCTGGTATTCAGCCAACAACCATCCTCCTTCCCGACGGAACAGGGCCGGGTGGCCTATATCATCACTCTGTTGACGGGTCTGGCCCTTTCCTGGGCTACCGCGGAGTGGGAGAGCCAAACTCCGGCATACTCAGACTCCTACCAATTCACCCAGAAGCTACGCAAGGTGTTCGACACCTCTCAGGTGGTGTCGGGGCATAAGGCCGGGAGGTGGTCCACGGCCTGTCGGCAGGTTGACCGTTCGGTGGCAGACTACTCCGTGGCGTTCCAGACCTGGGCTCGAGAAGCAGGATGGGAGGAGGCCGCCCTGGTCATCCTTTACGTGCAGGGGCTATCGGAGGGGATGAAGGACGAACTCTCCTTCAGGGAGCTGCCTGAGCGACTGGACGGCCTCGTCGAACTCTCGGTGCGGGTAGAGAATCGGCGTCATGAGAGGGCGCATGAGAGGGGGATGACGCAAGGCACGCCTCCGCGTCCCCCTATCAACCCGGATTCAGGGAGGATATGCCTCAGGAGGAGACTATGCAGCTGGGGGCGGCGCGCTGCTCCCATCCTGTTCCGGTCTCCATCGACCATTCATCAGCCCAAACCACTGTCCCAGACCACCTACCAGTCCTCACCTCTTCCCCAGGTCCCGCACTCTGAACCGCCTAACGCCCTAGCGGCGGTTGCCACTGGGAGGAAGGCGGGCTACAGACTCCTTCACCGGCCCAGACCTGGCAGGCGTTCCCCGGGAGTATTGGGATCTGGGGGAGGTGTTTAGTAAGAGGCGTGCCAAGGGCCTACCTCCTCACAGGCCATACAACTACGCTATCGATCTCCTACCGGGCGCCATGTCAACACGAAGGCGATTGTTTTCCTTGTCCCGGCCGGAGATGCTGGACATGAGGGAGTATATCGACGCGGCACTCGTCGAGGGTCACATCCGTCCCTCTACCTCACCCGCAGGCATTGGCTTCTTCTTTGTGGGGAAAAAGGGGACGTGGGCAGTGGCCGTGCATTGATTACCAGGCGCTCAACGACATCACGGTTAAGAACCACTATTCACTACTCCTGATTACGAAGGCATTCGAGTCGTTGCAGGGAGCCCGGGTCTTCACCAAGCTGGACTTAAGCAATGCCTACAACCTGGTGAGGATTCAGGAGGGGGACTACAGTGTCTTCGTGTATTTGGATGACATCCTAATATTCTCAATGGACATGAGTGAACACCAGCAGCACGTTCAGCAGGTCCTCCAACGCCTTCTGCATGTTCCACACAGAGACAGTCTCCTTCCTGGGGTTCATCATCACCCAGGGGGACCTACGGATGAACCCAGCTAAGGTCAGCGTGGTACTGGATTGGCCGCAGCCCTCATCCCTCAAGCAACTACAGTGGTTTTTAGGGTTTGCTCATTTTTATAGCCGATTTATTCGCAATTTTAGCTCCCTAGTTTCTCCCCTGACAGCACTCACCCAGACGAGTGTGCGCTCCTTCACCTGGATCCCGGAAGCGGCCTACTGTATATCCTGCACCACACCTGGGTCACAGCTCACACCAACCCTTACATAATTCCACTGTTTGCACTGAAACTGTCTGCCTTAAGAAAATGCCCACTGTGGGCAGCCCACTGTATACCATTGACTCAAATGTAAATGTCACTGACATGTCTACCTCAGATCAGCCTCTCAGAATAGTACTAAAAACAAAAAAGCAACCCAGAAAAGGACTAAAAATAGCCCATATTAACATATGTAGCCTGAGAAACAAGGTTCATGTAATTGACAACTTATTAACATCAGAAAACATATATATTATGGCCATCTCTGAAGCACACTTGGATAATTCCTTTGATGACGCAGTAGTAGCCATACATGGTTATAGAATATATAGGAAAGATAGAAATGCAAATGGCGGAGGTGTTGCCATGTTTGTCCAGAGTCATATTCCTGTTAGGCTGGGGCTCCTGAGTGGTGCAGCGGTCTAAGACACTGCAGCTCAGTGCTAGAGGCATCACTACAGACCCTGGTTTGATTCCAGGCTGTATCATAATCCGGCTTTGATTGGGAGTCCCATTGGGCGGCGCACAATTGGCCCAGTGTCGTCCGGGTTTGGCCGGGGTAGGCCCTCATTGTAAATAAGAATTTGTTCTTAACTGATTTGCCTAGTTAAATAAAGGTTAAATAAAAATAAAAATAAAAAATAGGCTGAGAGAGGATCTCATGTCAGATGATGTGGACGTAATATGGCTACTGGTTCATCTGCCTCACCTAAAGCCTATTCTCGTAGGAAGTTGCTACAGACCACCAAGTACTAAAAGTCAGTATTTGGACTATATGTGTGAAATGTTAGATAATGTATATGATATCAACAGAGAGTTATATTTTCTGGATGACCTAAATATTGACTGGTTGTCATCAAGCTGCCCACTCAAAAAGAAGCTCCAAGCTATAACCAGTGCCTGCAATCTCAAATCAAATCAAATTTTATTTGCCACATGCGCCGAATACAACAGGTGTAGACATTACAGTGAAATGCTTTTTTAAAGTAAATATATTAAAGCAAATAACTAAAGAGCAGCAGTAAAATAAAATAACAGTAGGGAGGCTATATACAGGGGGGTACCGGTGCAAAGTCAATGTGCGGGGGCACTGGCTAGTCGAGGTAATTGAGGTAATATGTACATGTGGGTAGAGTTAAAGTGACTATGCATAAATAATAGACAGAGTAGCAGCAGCATAAAAGAGGGAGGTGGGGGTAGAAGCTGTTGAGAAGACTTTTGGACCTAGACTTGGCACTCCGGTATCGCTTGCCATGCGGTAGCAGAGAGAACAGTCTATGACTAGGGTGGCTGGAGTCTTTGACAATTTTGAGGGCCTTCCTCTGACACCGCCTGGTATAGAGGTCCTGGATGGCAG